TAATTTGTATTTATTATTTTTCATATAGCCTGTACAGGGAGTGCAGAATTATTAGGCAAATGAGTATTTTGACCACATCATCCTCTTTATGCATGTTGTCTTACTCCAAGCTGTATAGGCTCGAAAGCCTACTACCAATTAAGCATATTAGGTGATGTGCATCTCTGTAATGAGAAGGGGTGTGGTCTAATGACATCAACACCCTATATCAGGTGTGCATAATTATTAGGCAACTTCCTTTCCTTTGGCAAAATGGGTCAAAAGAAGGACTTGACAGGCTCAGAAAAGTCAAAAATAGTGAGATATCTTGCAGAGGGATGCAGCACTCTTAAAATTGCAAAGCTTCTGAAGCGTGATCATCGAACAATCAAGCGTTTCATTCAAAATAGTCAACAGGGTCGCAAGAAGCGTGTGGAAAAACCAAGGCGCAAAATAACTGCCCATGAACTGAGAAAAGTCAAGCGTGCAGCTGCCACGATGCCACTTGCCACCAGTTTGGCCATATTTCAGAGCTGCAACATCACTGGAGTGCCCAAAAGCACAAGGTGTGCAATACTCAGAGACATGGCCAAGGTAAGAAAGGCTGAAAGACGACCACCACTGAACAAGACACACAAGCTGAAACGTCAAGACTGGGCCAAGAAATATCTCAAGACTGATTTTTCTAAGGTTTTATGGACTGATGAAATGAGAGTGAGTCTTGATGGGCCAGATGGATGGGCCCGTGGCTGGATTGGTAAAGGGCAGAGAGCTCCAGTCCGACTCAGACGCCAGCAAGGTGGAGGTGGAGTACTGGTTTGGGCTGGTATCATCAAAGATGAGCTTGTGGGGCCTTTTCGGGTTGAGGATGGAGTCAAGCTCAACTCCCAGTCCTACTGCCAGTTCCTGGAAGACACCTTCTTCAAGCAGTTGTACAGGAAGAAGTCTGCATCCTTCAAGAAAAACATGATTTTCATGCAGGACAATGCTCCATCACACGCGTCCAAGTACTCCACAGCGTGGCTGGCAAGAAAGGGTATAAAAGAAGAAAATCTAATGACATGGCCTCCTTGTTCATCTGATCTGAACCCCATTGAGAACCTGTGGTCCATCATCAAATGTGAGATTTACAAGGAGGGAAAACAGTACACCTCTCTGAACAGTGTCTGGGAGGCTGTGGTTGCTGCTGCACGCAATGTTGATGGTGAACAGATCAAAACACTGACAGAATCCATGGATGGCAGGCTTTTGAGTGTCCTTGCAAAGAAAGGTGGCTATATTGGTCACTGATTTGTTTTTGTTTTGTTTTGAATGTCAGAAATGTATATTTGTGAATGTTGAGATGTTATATTGGTTTCACTGGTAATAATAAATAATTGAAATGGGTATATATTTGTTTTTTGTTAAGTTGCCTAATAATTATGCACAGTAATAGTCACCTGCACACACAGATATCCCCCTAACATAGCTATAACTAAAAACAAACTAAAAACTACTTCCAAAAATATTCAGCTTTGATATTAATGAGTTTTTTGGGTTCATTGAGAACATGGTTGTTGTTCAATAATAAAATTAATCCTCAAAAATACAACTTGCCTAATAATTCTGCACTCCCTGTATATGTTCTGCAGAATCTGCATTAAACCGTATCTTCCAAACTACTGAACGGATCTGGATGAATTTTGGATATGTGGTTCACCCAGATCCCCCGTTTTTTTATGGGGTTATTGCATGTTTTGGGGTCCCTGTGATATGTTTTACATTACTGTATTTTCTTACCTGTGATAATTAAGTAAGTCTATTGTGTTGAGATAATTGTATCACAGGCAGAGGGGAGGATTTCTGATGTAATGAATGGGAGTGTTAGCTGTGTTGTAATGTGTTGATTGGTTGTTCTTCAAAACCCTGTGGGTAGTACTAATTTTGTAGAATGTGAATAAAAGAGGCTGTATCTGCCAGTACAGTCAGTTCTCTACCCTTCAAAACGTAGCCTCGTCTCTTAGGGAACTGCTATAATCACACTGTGGATTGCTATGCTTTGCATACTCCCTCTTTTAAGAGCTTGTTCCTGATACACTCTCCTGGAGGAGAGGTCTTCCCCACACGGTCCTGGAGGACAGAAGCCGATCTAGGGTGGACAGAAGACGGCGAGACTCCAGTTAAGCTACAGTGGTTGTGGAGTCTGCGGTGGTTGTGGTGTTCAGGGCGGTGCTTGTGATCCTGGGCGCAGGCTAGGAAGTGTCCATCAACGGAAGGTACTCGGTCGGAGTACGGGGAGTTCCGTTACACTAAATTATTAATGAAAATATTTTTTCATTATCAGTTCTGTGAATGGAGCAATCTAGAATAATTTGTAATTCTTAGGTATATATATTTAGGATGATAACAAGAAAGACTCCCAAAAAGTGGTTGATGAACTTCCAAAAAGGCATAAATCATTACATTAACCAAGGCAACAAAATATATAAAGATATATAATAAAAATAAATATAAGAATAATTCATAACATTATACATCATTAATTCTATAGCAGCCACTAAAAAGTAATTTAGGATATTTAAAAGTAATTTAGGACATCTCTAAACAAACATTAAAACATTTGCAACGTCTTGTAAATATTACTTTATGGATTTAACTAAACCTTATCTCAGCCGTCTCAGGAATACGGCCTATCTCAGGAGTTAGAATTTAGAGCTAAATTATATTACATTTTATTATATGAGAATAAAATAAAACAGCCCAATACTACGGCCTGCTGCTAGATTCCTCAGATACTAACAAATATAAACTGTGTTCAGAGAGATAGAGCAAAGAATGTTCTTGGTCAGATTGGATCAGTTTAAAGAAGACTAATCACTATTTAAACATTGTACACTTGTTGTATATCTTGGAGCCCATCCGTATTCAGACTAGTCTCACTTAGCTGAAAATAGAACACAGGGCTTGGTTTATCCATGCATAGTTGGTAGGACTGTGAATTTATTTTACTAGAACAGGCTACCATCACTATAATGAATTGGGTCAATTGAATGTCCAGTTACATTCCTGTTAGGAATATATAGAATCACCACAATGTTCTAGGCTACATATCCTCCATTCCAAACTAGCTCAGTGTCTCATTCTTAAACTGAAACATAATATTTAACAAAATAAATCCAAATCCTGCCCTGATATGCTCTTGTCCAAGGTGCCAATAAGGAAATAATGAGTTATGGGCTGGGGTCAGTAAATAATATGATGTCACTGTCCAAAATGGCAGCATTGGGTCCTGACTCTGGGTTTGGAACAGTTAAATATATATAATCTTAACTAATAGTGAGCTGTGTTACACTTCATGATGTTTGTTGGTTTGTTTGTCCTCATTAAACTAACATGAAACATACATATCGCCATATACCTCTGCTTGTATTAAATGAGGATAGCAGGAGATATATATTACATTCTCTTCTGTACAGCAATATATGAATTTACTAATGAAACTCAAAGCTTTAATAAATATTTTTATATCAAAAATCAACAACAAGAAACCAATAAACAGCAGAGAGCTCTAAGTAGGACTTTGAAACTGATTTAAATAGAACCATGTGCAATGTGTGGATAAAACATGTCACACTAGGAACACTGGGAGAGACACTGTATCCCAACACTGAGAGAAACACTATCCCAACACTGGGAGAGACACTGTATCCCAACAATGGGAGAGACAATGTATCCCAACACTTGGAGAGACAATGTATCCCAACACTGGGAGAGCCAATGTATCACAATACTGGGAGAGACAATGTATCACAACACTGGGAGGTATACTATATCACAACACTGGGAGAGACAATATATCACAATACTGGGAGAGAGACGGTATCCCAACACTGGGAGAGACAATGTATCCCAACACCGGGAGAGACAATGTATTGCAACACTGCGAGACAATGTATCGCAACACTGGGAGAGACACTGTATCTCATCACTGGGAGAGACAATGTTTCGCAACACTGGGAGAGACACTGTATCACAACACTGGGAGAGGCAATGTATCACAACACTAGGAGAGACACTGTATCACAACACAGGGAGAGACATTATATCCCAACAACACTGGGAGAGACATTGTATCAGAACACAGGGAGAGATATTCTATCCCAACAACACTGGGAGAGACATTGTATCCCAACATTGTATCCCAACAACACTGGGAGAGACATTGTATCAGAACACAGGGAGAGATATTCTATCCCAACAACACTGGGAGAGACACTGTATCACAACACAGGGAGAGACATTGTATCACAACACTAGGAGAGACATTATATCACAACACTGGGAGAGATGCTGTATCACAACACTGGGAGAGACGCTGTATCCCAACAACACTGGGAGAGACATTGTATCACAACACTGGGAGAGACACTGTATCACAACACTAGGAGAGACACTGTATCACAACACTGGCAGAGACACTGTATCCCAACACTGGGAGAGACATTGTATCACAACACTGGGAGAGACACTGTATCACAACACTGAGAGAGACACTGTATCACAACACTGGGACAGACACTGTATCACAACACTGGGAGAGACACTGTATCACAACACTGGGAGAGACAATGTATCACAACACTAGGAGACACACTGTATCACAACACTAGGAGAGACAATGTATCACAACACTAGGAGAGACACTGTATCACAACACAGGGAGAGACATTGTATCACAACACTGGGAGACACACTGTATCACAACACTAGGAGGGACACTGTATCACAACACTAAGAGAGACACTGTATCACAACACTAAGAGAGACAATGTATCACAACACTGGGAGAGACACTGTATCACAACATTGGGAGAGACACTGTATCCCAACACTAGGAGAGACAATGTATCCCAACACTGGGGGAGACACTGTATCACAACACTGGGGGAGACACTGTATCACAACACTAAGAGTGTCTGGACCTGCAGCCCAATGTGAATACCTAGAACAGACAGTATACCCAAGGCATCAGGTCATACTTACAGGAATATGGACTCTAAGGACCCTCTTCTTCTGGCTGCTGGGCTTTTTGGCAGCCTCTCTCTTCTTCTTAGTGTCCATGACTGTGCTTCCCATACTTTGAAGTCAATACCCCAAAAGAGAATCTTATAAAGTTCCAGGGTCCTCTTCCACCATCAGTGGTGCCAGTTGGGGCAGGGGCTGCTCCCCCAGGTGACAGTCACACAGCACAGCAGAGAGGTCCTGTGCTCTGGCTGAAGGCAGCAAACATGTTGCAGGTTCACACCTCCCAGAGAATTAAAGAACCCTGTCCCAGCTGGCCCCAGCCCCTCTCTCTCTCTCTCTGTGTGTGTGTGAGGAATAGAAGCTGGGCTGGGGATCAGCTCCAGATAATCAGCTCAGGACTGTCACTTGCAGAGTGGACACAACAGGAGCACAATGTAGCAATCCTTCCTCTCTGTGTGAGGGGTGGTGCCACAGATTCCCCTTCATGTGAACAACCAAAACAGGCAGAGACTGAGTCAGGAGCCAGCCTCAAACAGGAAGTCAATACCTCCCTGCAAAGCATGCATCCAGCTGCAAACTCAGAGCCAGGGATCCAGGGGTTAATCAGGTGGGCAGGCAGCTCAGAGAATGGGGGAATCCTGCACCCCCTACACCAGGCATGATTCAGCACTGTGTGAGCCAGGATCCCCAGCCTGACTTGTGCACCGCCACTGCATGTGTTGGTGCTGCACGGCAGGGCTGCTAATCGGGATCGTCCTGCTTGAAGTATACATTGTAACACTGTAAAGGATCAATAGAACGTCCAGTATCTATTTACAGCTTAATAGCCCGGGTTTATTACATACTGATACGTGTATCAATCTACATAACAAGAGATCTAGCTCGCTGATGGATTCATCTATAAATCTAGATACATGTATCTGTCTCCAGAAATCAGACAGCTCTGTGTTTATCTATAGAACTCGCTGGGTATGTCTACAGAGCTATGTGTGTGTATATAATGTATTGTTTATTTAACTGGAGGTAATGCATGTGTAAATCAGAATTAGCATAATGTTATATTAATCCGTCACTCTATTAATATAGATTAAATGAACCTATTAATATATACAGTGTGACCCTATTAATATATAGAGTGTGACCCTATTAATATATACTATGTGACCCTATTAATATATATAGTGTGACCCTATTAATATATACAGTGTGACCCTATTAATATATACCATTTGACCCTATTAATATATATAGTGAGACCCTATTAATATATATAGTGTGACCCTATTAATATATACAGTGGGACCCTATTAATATATATAGTGAGACCCTATTAATATATATAGTGTAACCCTATTAATATATATAGTGTGACCCTATTAATATATATAGTGTAACCCTATTAATATATATAGTGTGACCCTATTAATATATACAGTGTGACCCTATTTATATATATAGTGTGACCCTATTAATATATACAGTGTGACCCTATTTATATATAGTGTGACCCTATTAATATATACAGTGTGACCCTATTAATATATATAGTAATAATCTATTAATATATACAGTGTGACCCTATTAATATATACCATGTGACCCTATTAATATATACAGTGTGACCCTATTAATATATACCATGTGACCCTATTAATATATATAGTGAGACCCTATTAATATATATAGTGTAACCCTATTAATATATATAGTGTGACCCTATTAATATATACAGTGTGACCCTATTTATATATAGTGTGACCCTATTAATATATACAGTGTGACCCTATTAATATATATAGTAATAATCTATTAATATATACAGTGTGACCCTATTAATATATACCATGTGACCCTATTAATATATACAGTGTGACCCTATTAATATATACCGTGTGACCCTATTAATATATACAGTGTGACCCTATTAATATATAGTGTAATCCTATTAATATATACAGTGTGACCCTATTAATATATATAGTGTGACCCTATTAATATATACAGTGTGACCCTATTAATATATATAGTGTGACCCTATTAATATATACAGTGTGGCCCTATTAATATATAGAGTGTGACCCTATTAATATATATAGTGTGACTCTAATAATATATACAGTGTGACCCTATTAATATATATAGTGTGACCCTATTAATATATACAGTGGGACCCTATTAATATATACAGTATGACCCTATTAATATATACAGTGTGACCCTATTAATATATATAGTGAGACCCTATTAATATATATAGTTTGACCCTATTAATATATACAGTGTGACCCTATTAATATATATAGTGTGACCCTATTAATATATATAGTGAGACCCTATTAATATATACAGTGTGACCCTATTAATATATATAGTGTGACCCTATTAATATATACAGTGTGACCCTATTAATATATACAGTGTGACCCTATTAATATATACCATTTGACCCTATTAATATATATAGTGAGACCCTATTAATATATATAGTGTGACCCTATTAATATATACAGTGGGACCCTATTAATATATATAGTGAGACCCTATTAATATATATAGTGTAACCCTATTAATATATAGTGTGACCTATTAATATATATAGTGTAACCCTATTAATATATATAGTGTGACCCTATTAATATATACAGTGTGACCCCATTTATAGTATATATAGTGTGACCCTATTAATATATACAGTGTGACCCTATTTATATATATAGTGTGTGACCCTATTAATATATACAGTGTGACCCTATTAATATATATAGTGTGACCCTATTAATATATACCATGTGACCCTATTAATATATATAGTAATAATCTATTAATATATATAGTAATAATCTATTAATATATACAGTGTGACCCTATTAATATATACCATGTGACCCTATTAATATATATAGAGACCCTATTAATATATATAGTGTGACCCTATTAATATATACAGTGTGACCCTATTTATATATAGTGTGACCCTATTAATATATACAGTGTGACCCTATTAATATATATAGTAATAATCTATTAATATATACAGTGTGACCCTATTAATATATACCATGTGACCCTATTAATATATATATAGTGAGACCCTATTAATATATATAGTGTAACCCTATTAATATATACAGTGTGACCCTATTAATATATAGAGTGTGACCCTATTAATATATACAGTGTGACCCTATTAATATATATAGTGTGACCCTATTAATATATACAGTGTGACCCTATTTATATATAGTGTGACCCTATTAATATATACAGTGTGACCCTATTAATATATATAGTAATAATCTATTAATATATACAGTGTGACCCTATTAATATACACCATGTGACCCTATTAATATATACAGTGTGACCCTATTAATATATACCGTGTGACCCTATTAATATATACAGTGTGACCCTATTAATATATAGTGTAATCCTATTAATATATACAGTGTGACCCTATTAATATATATAGTGTGACCCTATTAATATATACAGTGTGACCCTATTAATATATATAGTGTGACCCTATTAATATATACAGTGTGACCCTATTAATATATATAGTGAGACCCTATTAATATATATAGTGTAACCCTATTAATATATATAGTGTGACCCTATTAATATATATAGTGTGACCCTATTAATATATACAGTGTGACCCTATTTATATATATAGTGTGACCCTATTAATATATACAGTGTGACCCTATTTATATATAGTGTGACCCTATTAATATATATAGTGTGACCCTATTAATATATATAGTGTGACCCTATTAATATATACAGTGTGACCCTATTAATATATATAGTGAGACCCTATTAATATATACAGTAGGACCCTATTAATATGTACCGTGTGACCCTATTAATATATACAGTGTGACCCTATTAATATATATAGTAATAATCTTTTAATATATATTATATAGCTCACCCATATAGAATTAAATCCATTGGTGTAGCCTATAAATCTTACTAAGGGCTATTAACTCACAGAGCCGCTCCTGATTAGACAACAGAACATAATAAATTTACTTATAATAATCATATTGCGATTTATTTTTAAGCAAGATTATCACCAGTTGCGCAATGAGTTTTGCAAATCTTTTCTCCATGCGCCTGCAGTGAGCACATTCGAGCCAGCAGATGGCGCCAGTGGAAAGTTCTGCAAAGCTGACACCTAACAGGAGCTTTTTTTAACCTCTCAAATCCCAGCATGTCACCTCTATTTGTTACAAGTTACCTTTTTTTGAAGTGCCTGTGTTTTATTAACCCATTCATTGCTGTTGCCATGTGTAAGAATGGTGTCTGTGATTGCAGTAGCTGTACTCATTGACTGAGAGTTTCCCAGTTTGGAATGGGGCTGGTATTAAGCAGCAGGTAACAACAGTCTCCCTAAGGCCCAGTGCTGATTAAATGTTTTATTGCCATTCTGCTTTGTGATGTGTGACTAGTAAGCGTTGGTAGAATCGCTGTCAGTTACCTTACGCTTGCAGTTCAGTGTTTTGCAATGGAATGGGGGATTGAAGGTCATTCTGGCCTGGACTCCTGTCTGTGTTCTCAAAGTCTGCACTAGAGCATCTACTGCATAAATCACACAGTGTCAGAGTTATTTACTAAAACAGGAATTGTCAGAAATTCAGGGTGACTTTCAAATTGTACGTCACAAACTGGGATGTTTTCTAAGTCAGCAAACTGTTCAGTTTAGTCTATTTTACCTCTTGTTTTAAAAGCATTATTCGGATAGTTTGTTACAAATGCAAAACAAGAAAGATAGTGTCATACACGCTCCCTCTTATCCTGCCCTTCTCCTTCCACACCATTCGTTCCCTCTTCTTTCTTGTCTTCTGTCCTATGGGCAAATCTTTCCTTTGTGCTTTGAGGCAGAGCTGTATTACGATCCCATTGGACCTGGTGCTGACAATTATGATGGGCCTAACTACAGAATCTTAAGGACAAAAAACACTAAAACAGTTATACCTCCTTAAGCTTCATGTATTTGGCGGAGGTGGTGCTGGTGGGAAACTCACAGGAAGCAGCTATAAGAAAACACAAACCCTATGCTAATCTCTCGCTTTTCTCTCTCAGGCAAAACCATACCCCTAACAGCAGGATAAAAAAGGTGCACCACTGACGCGAATCACGTAACCGGCACAGCTCAAAGGATGGACACACCCAGAAGAGGAGCGAGTCTGCCCGAAGAATTGGAAGGTCTACCTGGTGTGAATGCATGTCAGGCTGCCCCCGAATCATGCAGACTCGCCAACTAAGGGCAGACTATGCAGACAAAGCTTGGTGCAAATGCATCTAATAATGCACTCGCTCTACACTTTCTGGGACTGTCCCCTAGCACTCGCTTGTTCACTCCTCTCCTTGCCTTCACGCCAGCAGGCAGAAGCTCCTGGTATTCCATCTAGGACAAAGAAAAGGTGGATGTAGTGAGTGTAGAAGAAAGGGAACATGCCTCTTTTACAACAGGATTGCTTCAGAAATGCTTCAGCAAGTTCTTAGCTAAAGAATGCATCAATGTACTTGATTTGTGCAATCCCTTTCCAGTAGTTTGTGGTGCATAGCTCTGTTTGCAACCCAGCAGTACAATGAATACAGTTGTGTGTTATTATTCAGCAGTGATGTCCAACATAACATCAGATCCATTAACAAGGCCAAAGCGCAGAATAACATATGTTAAGATCAGCGCTCTCCAAAAAGTTGGCGATCACGTAGAATGTCATGTAAGAATAAAAGGTCATAGTGTTTTTACACATTCCTACTGTCTTACTGGTTTCTTTGGCAGTAAATGGCTTAGTATTCAGCGTCAGACAGGAGCTTCTAATTTAAAAAAAAACAACTCTCACCTGAGTTACTATACGAGGTTAAAAAATGCCAGTTTAGGCAAAAAAAACCTGACACTCACCAATTGCCATTATCACACGAAAGTGAGAGATTGATAGCAAAAGCGACAAGGTGGGAATTGCCAGCCATCCAGCCAATGGCATAGTGCGGGAGTGGGTGGAGACCACAGGGGCGGTTGTCCTGGGTGCAAAATTCTTGAGGTGCAAAATTAAAAAGAAAGAAAAAAAAAGTAGTAATAATAATAATTTTAAAAAAATAGCACCCCTTCGGCCTAACACAGAAAAGCTCCCAATGTTTGAACATTTGACACGTTTAACATGACGGAGCAAATAATCGCTGCCATGTAAAATTGACAGTAATTTTCTTGCTAATTACAGCCATGCTGTTCTCATATAATCCATATGGGTGAATTACATAATGCCTATTAATAGTGTGATTTCTAGTTTGAAGATACTGCCGGTACCTTTAAAGGGGAAATCACGCCACTATGGCAATTTAAGAGGCAATAGGCAAATGTTATTAAATAGTATCATCCCGGTGTGCCAGTAAAGGGGGCCTGGATAGCCTCACTCCTCCTTTCCTGCCCGCCTCATTTCCGTGATGTGTGTGACACTGATATTTACTTTACGTAATATTTAAAACCCACCTTATGCCTTACATAACATGTATAATGTGTATTTAGGCACCTACTAAGGAACTCAGGAAGTGTTAACAACCCACGGGTTACGAGACGCAATACTTGCCTTGCCCCAGGCGCTGGTAACCCAGGCTACGCTACTGCATCCAACTGTTGTCAGATTTCAGCGTCGAGGTGTACAGACTGGCTGAAAGTGATGGGAGTTTTAATCCAAAACAATAATATTAATTTCCCCCAGAAATTTATGAATAGAAGGACAGGTGGGAAGGCTTAGCTTTACTAACCCCCAACATACAGCTTGACTTAGAGATGATTACAAAAAAACCTGGATTGGGCAAAAATTGTGTTTGATTCTTGATTTTTTTTGCAAACTTAATAGTATTTAGAGTTACTCTATTTTGCCGCACAGCACAATAGCTATCAAAAGCTAATCGTGGCATCTTTCCAGTATTTTACTTGTATTCTTCAAAACGTGGATTGTTGGCAAAAAAAAATATTCTCCACATAACCCTTCTGAGTTGCAAATAATTCACGGCTAGTAGAAATCAAACACACAATCTTGTATGGCTCTGTAGGAAAATTTAAGGATGGTTTACCAGAGAACCGTTTCTTATAATGTCACATCCAGCAAATTCTCACCACCCTACACTACGCTACGCCCTACACTACGCTATGCAAGCCTTGATCTTTCCGGCCCTGTTTACCAGAGAGCAATTTATTCTAGCAATGTCTCCAGTCTTATACATAGCTACCATGTGTTACACAATGCATACCGAAAGTATTAAACAGAAAAGCAAATAAAATACACCAAAATAAACCCTGCTGTCAAAAATTTTATGTCAAAATGAGAGGACAAGGAATGAGAGATGGCCAGAGAAAATTTAAGGTTGGATCAGCGGAATTCCTAATTTGGTTTTCTGCTAATGATTGGGTGCTCAGCTCAAAAACATTCACTACGACTGTTGAAGGCCGAATGAGCTTTCTACCCCAATCAGTTTTGCCTCCTTTGATTGTTAGCTAATTGTTTTTCCTGATTTACTGTACATTTAATAATTGTTTATTTTCCCTTATCATACCAAGAAAACAGTTTTTACAGAAACTATTATTCCCCACTACAAGATCCTCAGGGATGAATTCCAACAAAAATATTGATGGTTGAGCCTACAAGAGATGTTTAATCATATTGTTGAACTGTGCGCAGGTCAGTAAACGGCAACAAAGGATACTGGACACTAAACCGTCAAACAAGTAAATTTTCCCTGTGAACAAATTTTCTGTCTTTCAACGTCTCTGAAGCAGAAAATGTAAAAGATACATTCAAGAAAACAGAATTACAGAGCAAACAAAAATATGTTTTTCTTTGTACACTTTTGTTGTTTTTTGTATTTTTATTTTTTTCGATTGAGAAATGCAGAAATAAAAGAGGTCTGGACGTTTTTCTGGCACAGCTGAATATTTGGGGCTATATTTGTCTAAAAGGGCATTATTCCAATCTCATAAATTCAAACAGATTTCGGACTATTATCGTTAAAAGCATTTATATAGCGCCAACTTATACCGCAGTGTAGCATTGTGGAGATTCGAGGAATTTTATTCCCGTTATGCAGTACAGTGAAATCACTTTAACTTGCGTTTGACTTTGTAGGTTGCACTTGGGCCATTTCTAAGCCTATACTATTTGGGTCATAGAAAATACTTTCTGGAAATATATTCTGTTTGAAAACAAAGAGCTTTAAGTAATCCTTTCATCCTGGACATGCACAGTATCATCTTTTTAAAATTACAATCACCGAGGTTCCTCTCCATCAAAAGAAAATTAGATTAATAGAAGATTTCTAACACTAGAGCAGTGTTTCCCAACCCAGTCCTCAAGGCACACCTACCAGTCCAGGGTTTAGGGATTACCCAGTTGTGTCTAAGGTGTTTTTACAAAGAAGAAAAAAAACACCTTAGACACAACTGGGTAATCCCTAAATCCTGGACTGGTAGGTGTGCCTTGAGGACTGGGTTGGGAAACACTGCACTAGAGCCAAAGTGAGTGTCAGTGAGTATTGTGTCGGGAGCTAATTATACTCCCGGCACACGGAACTGTGTTTTAGACTGAATAATGTCCATTATTTATTTATTTTTTTGTTAATTTTCTTTTATTAAGGGAACGTGAGTTGGGTTACAGAACGAAGAGTGGGAAATGAACACGTTCATTACAAATCAGGATATCATAATATCAACATAAACATGAATGAGTAACATGTCTTAGATATCAATGCCTCATTTCCCTCCCCTACCTTTATTGTCCTTTCTCTTTTTCCTTTTGAAGAAGTTGAAATTTAATCACGCCAAACTGTAGGTGCACAAAAATAAAACAATAACAGGCATGCTGTGTATAAGCAGCGTGTAGGTTAACTAGAGGTATGCTGGGTACCAAGGTCCAGTGGTAAAGAAGATCTTCTTAGGTGATATGTCGGGCAGTGTGGTCATTATACTGTTAGGTGTTTGGCTAAGAGACCTCCTAAGGTGGGTGTCTTGTACAGTTTGGTTAACTTATGAAAGAGTAATCCTATTTTAAGTAGCATGTAGGTTGCTTTACTCAATTTGTTGGGGAATTTAGATGTGTAGCATCGGGATAATTGATTATTTATTGTTACTTTCTCTATCGACTCTTCCCTTTCCATTCTCTTTAGAGAGGGAAAAAAAGGAGGGAGGGGGAAACAGAACAAAACAAGAAAAGAGGTATAAATCAGGCTGATCCGTAGTGTAGCTTTAGGGATGGGTATTCTGTATTGGACGTGTCCGAGCCCCAATCAGAAATCATATGAGCCTACCCCGGGTTAAGTAATGAAACGAGACTAGCAGGCAGCCTGGTGTGTATTTCAGTTATCCAATACTGCTTCTTACCATATTGAGTGTATATCTAAGGTAGCGTACATGTGGAAGCAGGCATTATGCATAGAAATTAAGGCTGTGAGGTAAGTGGTATACGATTAGCGGTGGCTGCTCTCAGGCGTTCGTTTGGTCCCCCTTCCTTCTTGCCCCTATCTCCCTTTCTCCTTTGTTAATATGATTTTGTGTAGTCACTGTGGTTATGCCAAAACAAGGACAGAGTGAACGTAAGTATGTAGTTAACCTTTTCCCTTTTACCATTCCCTTTTCTTTCCTTACAGTCCCCTTCTTGGCATATGGCTAACCAGGGTTGTGGGGCATGTAGGGCTGAGTTAGATGAATAACGGGTCAGCAGGTAGGGGTTCATAGTCTTCAGTCCATAGCATGTCAGATATGTGTAGTGCTCTTGTGCAAGTTAAAGTTGTGTTGCTATGTAGTGAGCTTAGCGTGCAGAGGTGCCCCCCAGAGCCTGTGTCCAGGCGTCCATCTGGTAGTTTCCCTGGCTGTGTAAGTATCCCGTGTATGAAATGTCCCCTGCTGCCCCCCTTTTTTGGGTGACCCTAAGGGGCAGGAGCAGGATCGGTGGGTCAGGAGGGTCTTCCTCGCTTTCTCTTAAACAGGGGCTGTATGCGGCCTGTGTCCCGAGACCCCTTACCTCCCCGGGCTAGTCACCGCTTCATGCCAACAAGACCCGAAAGTCAGCGTGATATGCATCAGCCGGTGAGTCCAGATATCTGCGTAATATTGCGTACGTCCTTGGGCCATAAGTGTCAGTTCTTCTAGCCATTGCAGGTCCTCCGTTTTGTCGAACCACAGTGTCAATGGGGGGGAGAGGGTGTTTCCTGTTTCCAGTAGAGGGGAATTATTTGTTTGGCCACATTTAAATTATTTTTTTTATATATATTCTTTATTTTGTATTGGCAAGACAATATACGACAAATGTACAGAAGAAAAATCAGGTGTCGCAGAACCCATATATTAACAAGTAAGGTAATGCATAGCATCAGTGTATACAATCTGTCGCAAACAATCTTTCATGTTGTAGGTAGTTCATACCATTAGAATGTATCTAATTTGCCATTACAATGTAACCTATTTGCCATCTGGGTCGTCCGTCAATACATTTTTATTTTTGTTTAATTGAACACAGAATCATACAAGGTACAACAGTTTTTGTAATTGTGGCAGATGTTTGGAAAAGAAGGTGCTAGCTAGTGAGTTACCTCCTGGAGGTGCGCAATGTCGCATCATGTTTTAATAAAACCTGTGACTCATATGAATCCGTGGAGACAATTGAGATCAGGGTTTACATTAAAAGAGTAAAGTAGTACAGAACAAGTAGAGAAAGATAGAAGAGAGGCGGAGGCCCTGATTC